AATGAGCAAATGTAGGTTTTTTTCCTGGGAAGCTTATTCCGAATTCTTAGCTCGCAGCGAGAATTTTCCCATTGGAACTGCCAGTTGCCATTTGAGTCCTATTTCTGAGAGGCACTACAGAACTTTCAAAGGAGCATGGGATATTGGATGTCAAAGAACCTCTTCCACTCTATTCTCATGACCCCCTTCTAGAAACTTTAATTCTCCCCCATAAGGTGATTAGAGCTCATCATTCTCACTGCGACTTGTATAATTTATCGCCTGAATGATTCTATGATTGGTTGGCATTCAAGAAATGTCCGCGAGATCAGCTCAGCTCCCCACCCTCACATTCATAATTGACATCCCGCATCCATTTAATTGGGAAAATATAGGCGAATAGTAGTCGTTCGAGCATTTGCCGCATTGAAATTGAAAAGAGCAAAAACATTCCGAGGCTGTCCAGCCAAGCGTTTGAGCCTCAATGCCTTTTGGTGACTGGTAAGGTAACAGCTTACCCCGAAGAAGTTACCGGGGTAATCATCGGGAAGGGTTTACCCAGCATTCGATGAAGTTAATAGCCTGATTGGAAGAGCTGTATGGAATCGCCGTTCCACCCTCCCATCACGACAGATAACTTTTGTGGACAGCATCCAAACCAGAAGCGGTCGCTGGGTTACAGGAACAGGTAGCCCTCAGAGGATAGAGTTACGTGCCCTGAATGCCCTTCACTGCCACCGCAATCTCCAGCGAGATTCTTTATAAGCTTAGAGCAATGATATGTTGTGATGCCATGTACGGGATACTAAAGACAAGGGTCCCTATGAAATTCTCAGAAAAATCCTCTCCTTGAGTGAGCAAGCAGGACCTCTACGACCAATCCCCACAGTGGTGGTGGTGTTGTCGCGACTTGATAGTGCGCGGTAAGGGAGCTCCTAACCGCTGCAACCGCTGCCATTTTTATCAATCGCAGCATGCGTGATGTGGCCACTCTAACGTACGACGTGCTCTCTCGCGTTTTCCCTCTCCTCGCAGCGCTATATCTCTCCACGATAACACGGTCTACCCCAAGAAATACTTGGGTTTCTAGGTGCTTTAGCGACTCTCTCTCCCCTGCACACCTGGTTTCGGATCAAATAGTGCACCAATTTTATTGTGTCCCGTGCCTTTAAGGGCCCAATGTGCATACCGTATCGGTTCTCTTACCTGATTTGGATCACAAAACTCGATGTCCTCATAGATTTCCATTGCTTTCGCTTGTCTATTGTCTTTGATGCATACTAGGCGTGAAGGACAATTGTCTGAAATTGCAGACATAACAAAGGAAGGATATTTATCAAAGGTTAAAGCGGATTTGCACGAGAAATGGCACGAACAGCGACATTAACGACGTCGACGACGACGTCGTCCGTCAGCGGCAAAGCGAAAACATTTGAGGCTTATGGGTTTTATTCCCCGTGAGCGGGGCGCCGAGCTCT